TGGGCGCTGTCCCTCAGCTCTTCAGCTCAAGGCTATTGCTCTACCACTTGAGCCACAGCGCCACTTCTGGCTTTTTCTGCTTATGTGTGCTGAGGAATCGAACCCAGGGCCTCATGCATGCAAGGCAAGCATTCTACCTCTGAGCCACCTTCCCAGCCCCTGACTGTAATATTTTATATAGGAGTGAGGAGTTCATTGTGAAATACAGAGAAGTCACATTTTGAGAGGTTGAATATTGAGAGGAGTCTTTATTAGAAAGATTCAGACATACTTTGAGAAGAGTATTTATTAGAAAGCTGATGACTGCAGGCAGACTTATGTCCCAAAGAACTTGCAATCCTGAGTGCAGCTAGCATAAAGTTTATGGGGGCAAAAACCACATGATCCAGGTGGGGGAATTTAAACCCATCAAAATTGTGTTTACAAATACAAAGCTAGCTTGGTGGGACAATCTGGGGCTTCTTGTAAGAATGCAATTCTTCATCCACCAAGATACCAAAATGGCGCCAGTTAGACTCAAGATCCATATTTCAATATTTGTTTGGTGTCTTCTATCCCTATTACACTTTGGTATCTTCTGCTTCACATTTATTTTGACAGTTCCAGTGGCTGACATTATTCTGGCTGGTAAAATACTGCAAGTGCTACAGTATAAATGGATGGTTGCTAGCACACTAGTTGAAGGTAAGAACTAGTTCTTGAATATACATTGTAGTCTTAGAAAACACTGCTTCCTTTGGCTCAAAATTCTAGTAATTAAAAGAAAATTTTTGAGCGGGACTAGATATTGAACTGAGGGGCAATGATCCTACACCTCCAGTCCTTTTTGGTTGTAAATTTTCGTAAAGGGACTCTATCCTAAATTTTCCCAGGCCAGATTTGGACTGGGTTTAAAGATACAGGCTGCCACACACATCCTTCTGGTAATTGATTGAGAAAACTTTGTCTTTTTTATTAGGTTATACTAGTTAATACAGAGGGGTATTTCATTGTTATATTTCTGCATTGTAAGGTCTGCCCCAGACCCGGCAGGCCCTGTGTAGACACCTCCCTACCTCTTGGCTAAGTTTTTCTGCCCAGTTATCTGGATTACCTAGATAACTAACACACCTAGAAACAGTCACATGCCCCTCCTGCTAGGTCACATCTTGAGCTGCCCCTGATCACGCCTCCCAACTGACAATTGGAGAGACCCAGGCCCTGAGGTCATATCCAGATCCTGTGTGGCCACACCTTTCTCCCCACCTGGCCACACCTCTCGCTGGCCCTGGTCTAGATAAGTCCTGGCCCTGGGGTGGGTCTGCCCTTTGGCAGTGCCCAGCAGGGCAGCAGTTCTGCAAATAAACTGCTTTTCCTGCCTGTTTTAAAAAAGCATCGCCTGTAATCCTAGCTACTCAGGAGGCTGAGATCTGAGGATCATGGTTCAAAGCCAGCCCGGGCAGGAGAGACCGAGAGACCGTGAGACTCCTATCTCCAATAAACCACCAGAAAACCGGAAGTGGCGCTGTAGCTCAAGTGGTAGAGTGCTTGCCTTGAGCTGAAGAGCTGAGGGACAGCGCCCAGGCCCAGAGTTCAAGCCCCACGGCCGACCAAAAAAAAAAAAGCATGGTGTTCTCTTCATTGGCTACCTAATTAAACCTACCTATTTAATATACCTTACACACATTTTCCATTATACGGGCCAACAATATATTCTAATCAGTCTTACAGACTCTTAACACTGTCCCCTTTTCCCACCCCAAACAGTTTCAACAGGCTTCATAGTTTGATTTTCATAATTGCAAATAATCTATTTCAACCATATTCATTTTCCTTCCAAATATATCTCAAAATCCTTTACCCTCTTTTTCATTTCCCTTTTCCGTCTTCTGTAGTGCTTAGATTCATGTTGTATTTATCCATATAAATTATGTAGATGGATACATATGAATATATATGTCCATGAATATGTCTTTTAGGTCTAACTTCCACCTGAGTAATATTGTAATGCTCACCAGAAAGGAAAGTGCTACATGGTTCAGGGAGAAAAGAGTTTATTGAGAGGAGAGCAATGGCATGTATGAGATGGAGGCACATGAGACTGAGGGGAAGGAAAAAGAAGAGGGGACTTGTGTTGAGCCAGATTATATAGGGAAAGGTGGAAGGTGGGACCACAGCAGAAGCGGAAGTGATCTCTGAGGCTGGGAAACATCTGATTGGCTGAGGGAGGCATGGCCAGGGTGGTTCAGGAAATGAATTCAGTGGATGGAGAAGTGACCTCAGAGCCGGGTGATCGACAGTCAGGTGATTACTGGTTTCAGGAAGGGGAGGGGGCTGTTCTCCTGGGCAGACCTAACAAAATATTTTGTTTTTTAAGCTTGGATTGTCTCATCCAATATTGGTATCCTCTAGTTGCATTCATTTTTCTGCAAATAACATGATATCATTAATGTAATATTCCATAGTATGTGTATGTGTGTATTTATCATTCATATATATATATATATATATATTCCGTAGTACGTTATCTGTTGTTGGATACCTCAGCTGATTCCTTGTTTGGCTATTGTGAACAGTGCTACAGTGAACGTAGTTATGCAAGTGTTTTTCTGGTATATGGATTTACCTTCAGATAAATGCCCAGTCGTGGAGTGGCAGGGGTCATAAGGAAGGTCTGTTTAGTATTTTGAATAACCTCCATATTGATTTCCAGAGTGGTTCCACTAGTTACCATTCCCACCAACAGCGTGGGAGGGCTCCCCTACCCTTGCCAGCATTTATTGTTTTCTTGATAGCTGCCGTTCTGACTGGAATGAGGTTGAATCTTAGTGTGATTTTGATTTGCATTTCCTTTATAACTAAAGATCTTGACTTTATCTGTTAGCCATTTGTATTTATTCTTGTGAGATCTGTTTTGTTCATTTGTGCATTAATTGTATTACTCTGGATGTAGTTCTGGACATTCTTTGTATATTCTGGATATTAGTCCTTTATCTGTTTAGTAGCTTGCCAAGATTTTTTCCTATTCTATGAGTTGCTGAGAATACAGGAATGGGCTGCTGCACACATCCATCTAATAATTAAAACTTAAAAAAAATTTTTTTTGACATCCATTAGATGTTTGGGGCAGGGGTATGTGTGACATTTCTAACCATATGTACAGTGTATCTTGAGCAAACTTATCCCTCCCATCATACTCTTCTACCTTTCCTTCTAAAATGATTCACTGTTCTATTTTCATATGTGCAAATAAACTTCCACATTCATCTTCATTTATCTTCTGTTTACCCTCCCCCTCCCACAGATAGCTCCAATAGAGGTATTTATATCCTGTCTTTTTTTTATCAGTTGTGGGGCTTGAACTCTGGGCATGGGTGCTGTCCCTGCGCTCTTCAGTTCAAGGCTAGCGCTCTACCACTTGAACCACAGAGCCACTTCCTGTTTTCTGGTGGTTAATTGGAGATGAGAGTCCCCATGGACTTTCCTGCCTGGGCTGGCTTCAAACCATGATCCTCAGATCTCAATGTCCTGAGTAGGTAGGATTACAGGTGTGAGCCACTGGTGCCTGGCTTTCCTGTCATTTTTCAAAGTGTGTATTAATTGAACCAATGAGTTTCTAGCCATTAATTAATGTACTTTCTCTCTGTACTGGACTGGGGTTTAAACTCAGGGTTTTGTGCTTGCTAGTCAGGTACCCTATCACTGATCTATGTATGCCTCCAGCCCTAAAATACCCACCTTTTAGATTATTTATTTAGGTGTGCCATTCCAGGACCTAGGCATTGTCCCTGAGCCCTTTTTTGCTCAAGGCTGGTCCTCTTATCATTTGAGTCAGAGCTCCACTTCTGGCTTTTTTTTTTTTTTGGCTGGCTGTGGGGCTTGAACTCTGGGCCTGGGCACTGTCCCTCAGCTCTTCAGCTCAAGGCTAGTGCTCTACCACTTGAGCCGCAGCACCACTTCCAGCTTTTTCTGCTTATGTGGTGCTGAGGAATCAAACCCAGGGCCTCATGCATACAAGGCAAGCACTCTACAACTGAGCCACCTTCCCAGTCCCCACTTCTGGCTTTTTGGTGGCAATTTGGAGATAGAGTCTCATGGACTTTCTTGCCTGAACTGGCTTTGAACTAAGATCCTCAGATCTTAGCCTCCTGAGTAGCTAGGATTACAGGCATTGGTTTGTAATCCAAAGCCTGGTTTAAAGTATCTTTCTGAATTACAACAAATAATAAACCACCATGATGAATTTGTTATGTGTCAGTGCAGTCTTTTTCAAATAGCAGTTATCCAATCTTTCACAGTGGAGATGCATTGCTTTGGAAGACTGAGCCAGGAGGATAGAGAGGACTCCTTGATCAGGAAGCCGCTTTGGAGTATAGGCTGGGTGGATGGCTTATGTAAGTGGGAGGAATAGGACAGAGAAGGGGCCTAATACTTGCTCTGTGGAATAGGCTCAAGAAGAAACCTGGAGAGATCAGACAAACTGCACTGTGGTTTGTCTGGGATGCTGCTTATAGTCTTGACACACTTCAAACCCCTTACCTCATCGTTAGGCCATTATGAGACATGTCTTGGATTTGGTAACCCCTTGTCTATATTCATTTAAAAAAGAGAACCTGAAAGTACAGACATTAGGAGCTTAGAAGATAAACCATATATTTGCACTGGCACCTTCTGGCTTAACCCAGGTCCAAATCACTGTCTTATGTGATGATTAAGTTGGCAAACAGAGTTCCCCTGGCATATTTCTGTCAGAACTGTGTTATTCACAGGAATCAGTCTCTTGGAACCTGTGCCACCTTAAGAATTGTAGGGATTTTCCATACTGGTTCTCCATATATGTTCTAGCTAAACGAATTTCCCAGTGGAAGTTCCAAAGCTAACCTACAAGGGTGGGTTTAGGGGTCTTCTTTGTCTTGTTGACTCACTGAAATAGCAGTTCTTGCTATGTTTAGCTCCTGGAGGGGCATGTCCATACCTCTTTTACCACTATCCAGAGGTGACTGCTTTCTATTTCTTTCCAGGTGGGCTGGCTCCTCTGGCTGATGGCATGTTGAGGTACATGGACCAGTGGCAACGAGGGCATTTGATCCGGAGGGGGCCACTCTAGAGGCCCGACTACCACCATCATGGGCCAGTGTGTCACCAAATGCAAGAATCCCTCATCTACCCTGGGCAGCAAGAATGGAGACCGGGAGCCTAGCAGCAAGTCACATAGCAGGCGAGGTGCAGGCCACCGTGAGGAACAGGTGCCACCTTGTGGCAAGCCAGGTGGGGATATCCTCGTCAATGGAACCAAGAAGGCAGAGGCTGCCACTGAGGCCTGTCAGCTGCCAATGTCCTCGGGAGATGCTGGGAGGGAGTCCAAGTCCAATGCTGAGGAGTCTTCCTTGCAGAGACTGGAAGAACTGTTCAGGCGCTACAAGGACGAGCGGGAAGATGCAATTTTGGAAGAAGGCATGGAGCGTTTTTGCAATGACCTATGTGTTGACCCCACAGAATTTCGAGTGCTGCTCTTGGCTTGGAAGTTCCAGGCTGCTACCATGTGCAAATTTACCAGGTAAGTCTTTTCTTCGTGTCAGTGGATAAGCAGAGGAAGAAAGGGAGTGCCATTGGACAGAGACCTGGGTTGTTTTCATAGGGTTTAGGATATTTGTGTTGTTGATTTTTCTCTGAAACTTAAATGTTCTAAGTTTTTGTTCTGATCCAGAGAGCACTCTTAAACTCTTTTTTTTTTTTTTTTTTTTGGGTCCGGTCGTGGGGCCTGAACTCTGGGCCTGGGCACTGTCCCTCAGCTCTTCAGCTCAAGGCTAGCGCTCTACCACTTGAGCCACAGCGCCACTTCCGGCTTTTTTCTTTTTGCTTATGTGGTGCTGAGGAATCGAACCCAGGGCCTCAGGCATGCAAGGCAAGCGCTCTACCACTGAGCCACCTTCCCAGCCCTACTCTTAAACTCTTGTAAGGGTTCAGCAGCTACATTCTTGGTGCTTTGGCTGATCTATTGACTAGGAATCTCAGAAAGAAGGTTGGGGCATTTGTATTTTGATAAAGCTTCCTGTTTCTTTTTTCTCATTTTTTCTTATTTTTGGTGCCAGTTGCAGGGTTTGAACTCAGGGCTGGGGCACTGTCCCTGAGTTTTTGTGCTCAAGGCTAGCACTCTACCACTTGAGCCAAAGCTCCCCTTCTGGCATTTTGGTGATTAATTGGGAGACTTTTCTGCCTGGGCTGGCTTTGAACTGCAATCCTCACATCACAGCCTCCTGAGTAGGATTTGAGGCACGAGCCATCAGCACCCAGCTGTCTCAGCCTTTTCTTTTTTCTCCTTCACCTGTGAATTCACTCTATCACCTGCTTACTTGGTGTTTATTATCTACCTATTAAGGACCTGGTACTTATGTACCAATGCAGTGAGTGCTCTGTAGATATATCTTTGTCACTTCAGAAGCCAATTGTCCCTTCTAGCTGTGAGCCTATTGCTTTGAGCCAGGCCTATGTGTAGCAAGGACAGCTGGCCCCTGTAATCAAGTAGTAGTTACAGATATTGTTGAGGGCATGTGTCCATACAGAGGTTGTTCGTAGGGGGATGACTGGCAGGTGTGGTTTGCAGAGTGACTGTGAACCAACTTTGAGAACCATCGGTGCAGATTCTATGTCTATGTCTATGGCCTCCTTGGTAGGTCAGCCCCTGGCCAAATGTCTCACTACTTCAGTAGTCCCTGGGTTAACTACCAATGTGAGACTCTGTTGTATGCTGAGAGTGCTATACAAATCTTAAAAACACATAGGCTGCTGGGCATGGTGGCGCAGGCCTGTAATCCCAGCACTTAGGAAGCTGAGGATCCAGAGGTTGAGCAAGCCTGGATGACAACCTATGTCAAAACCTTTTTGTTTTTTATTTTTTGTTTTTTAGTAACAGAACTTTGATCTCTGGTTACAGAACTACTCAGGTTCATCCAGAATCTTTGGCTCTAAAAGACTCCCTTGGTGACCCTCTTGGTAGTCATCAAAAATATACCCCAGCTGGGCGCCGGTGGCTCACGCCTGTAATCCTAGCTACTCAGGAGGCTGAGATCTGAGGATCGTGGTTCAAAGCCAGCCTGGGCAGGAAAGACCAGGAGACTCCTATCTCCAATAAACCACTAAAAAACCGGAAGTGGCGCTGTGGCTCAAGTGGTAGAGCACTAGCCTTGAGCTGGAGAGCTGAGGGACAGCGCCCAGGCCCAGAGTTCAAGCCCCATGACTGACCCCCCCCCCAAAAAAAAAAAAATATATATATATATATATATATACCCCAAACAATCCTCCTCTGGGAGGAAAGCCTGCAGCTTAACCACTATTGCAAAGTGGGAAACAAAGTCCAGGCAACAAGAGACTGGAGTTTTATTTAGCTTTTATCCCTTGTTTGCCACCTGCCAGGCACAGTTAAGATGCAATTAGTATCTGTTAACTAGTTGAGTCATCAACAAAACCCTATGAAGTAAGATGGTAGATACATGGCGTGTGACTGGTGAGGAAACAGGACTAGTTAATGCAGGAGATAGATTTTCAGTTCAGGCTTTCAGGCCTCATGGTTGTGTTCTTCACCACTGTACTCCATTGTCACCCAGAAAATATCTCACTGATTAATTGTGCATTTTCCTTCCTGTTCTAGGAAGGAGTTCTTTGATGGCTGCAAAGCAATAAGTGCAGACAGCATTGACGGGATCTGTGCACGGTTCCCTAGTCTCTTAACAGAAGCCAAACAAGAAGATAAATTCAAGGATCTCTACCGGTTTACATTTCAGTTTGGCCTGGACTCTGAAGAAGGGCAGCGGTCACTGCATCGGGAAATAGCCATTGCCCTGTGGAAACTAGTCTTTACCCAGAACAATCCTCCAGTATTGGACCAATGGCTAAACTTCTTAACAGAGAACCCCTCAGGGGTCAAAGGTATCTCCCGGGACACTTGGAACATGTTCCTTAACTTCACTCAGGTGATTGGCCCCGACCTCAGCAACTATAGTGAAGATGAGGCCTGGCCAAGTCTCTTTGATACCTTTGTGGAGTGGGAAATGGAGCGAAGGAAAAGAGAAGGGGAAGGGAGAGTCGCACTCAGCTCAGGGCCGGAGGGCTTTTGTCCCCAGGAGCAGACTTAGTGGCTCTGTCCCAGGAGCAGCTGTGAGGATCGGCAAGCTGCCCTGAAGCCAAGCAAAGAATTGGACCTTTCTGGAAGTTACTGAAGATCCGGATATTTTCTACTTTTACACCTTTCTCTGCCTTGTATCTGAAAGGGCTCTAAAATGCTGTATCATGTTTTAGGCACTTTCTTCATTTTCGGTTATTTTGGTTATTTCTTTTTTTGGAGGGGGGAGGGAATCCCCCAAAATATTTGAACCTGGCTACATGTTGTGTATCTTTTTTTTTTTTTTTTAAAGCCTTCAGATAGAATAAGCCTGCCATTTCTTGCACAAATTTTAGATTTTGGTTTGTTTTGTGGGGGAGGGCATAAGATTGGGTGGGGGGGAAATGGGACTGTTAGGTTGAATTAACATTACAAAATGATACAGTGCCAGATCTCAGTTTTGCATAGATTTTTTTTTTTCCAAGGCAGGTCTGTACTGTGTGTAGTGCTGTTTACATGGTTGAGTTTAGGTTGTAATAATTATTTTTAAAAGATTTACACAACTTTGAATAGCAGTGTTAACTGTTTAACCACATTGCATTAATTTTCAGACAATTTAGAACTCTTGGAGAGCTAAGGCCAACAAGAGTATTCGCAGTCTGGTGACAATGCCCTTTTAAGCTAACTTATCCCAAACCTTTGTTTCCCTCACTTCTAGTTCATTCCTTCTTTGTGACCTATTGCGTTTCATGTTGAGTTTATCATCAACATGCTGCACGTGTCAGTCAAGTGAGCAGTTTTGTTTCCTTTTAGAACACGTTGTACTAAGAACCACTTACATTGAATGCAGAGAAAGCAGTGCTACCTCAGTTTTGCTGGAAGTAGATTTATTTGATAGTTTTCTTTCTTTGATGAAGTTTCTGTATTTTCATATTATAAGTGGAAATACTTTTCTTTTTTTTTTTTCTATTTGCCTTGGAGCCAAAGTTTCTGTTCCTGGTAGTCGGAAAACTGTGCCGGCCGGCCAGCTGACTTGAAAGAAAACTGTGGTATGGAGCTCTGCTTGAACTTTTGTTTTACTTTTATTTTATTTTATTTTTTAAAAAAATTCATCAGCTTACTTGTCTGGCAAGTGCAGAAGCCTAGGACTGGCTTGATCTCTGCCAAACAAATGATCAAAGTGTATTTAATAGTTCAAAGTGCGCCCTTTTCCCTTCTTGCTGCACCCATGTTGTCACTTAACCCCCAGGAGTTATTTATTGTCTTTTTGTTAATGTCAAGCTCATAGGGGGTAATGTGATGACTGTTTAGGTTTACATGACTCTCTTCCCCTTGCCTGTCCCCAAGTGTGTGTGTGTGTGTGTGTGTGTGTGTGTATACATATATAAAGTATGTATATATTTTACATATATAAAAATATATATATACACATATATGTATCTATATTTCTGTTTCTTTGCCTGCTAAAACTGGCCATAAAAGAGGGAGCTGCCTTCACCATATAGTTCAAGAAGAGTGCCAGGGTGCGTAATTGAGGCTGTAGCATATGAATTTGGACCATTTTTACTAAAGAGAACATGAATTTGCTTATAGGGAGGAGGACCCAGTTCCCTTTTTGCTCACTTTACAAGGCCAGTTTTTGATCAAACTGCCACTGGTCCCTGAGGAGCTGATTTGTCCTACCTGGTTTTCGTAATGGGGGCCCTCTTGCTATTTTTCCATTAAAAAAAAAAATCTATATATATATCTATATATATATCTTGAAAAACCTGTACTGGAAGGGTGGGTGGCAGGAGCTTGTACAGTTCAGCTTTCAACACTTTGGAACAGTTTAAAAAGGGAATCTTTGAAATAAAAACTTATAAAAAATGTTTATCCTTGTGAGGTAATGAGTTTGTCTTTTAGAACTTTGGGGTTTTCTCCCCATCTCCACCCCAGGTATATTTCTCAGTTTGGATAAGAATTTTTGTGTTTTGAATTTCTTCGTGGTAGCCTTATAGTACTGGGCTCCTGTCATTACAAAGTTATTATCTAAGGAGTTGGCCATTGTAGTTTCTCTGAAAGTGCATCATAGGGCACATACATAGATGTGTTTTTTTTTAAATTCTAAACCTGATAGAATGAGCCACAACACTGATTGGAAATACTAGTGTCTCCTTTTGTTCTAGCAAAAACAAGACTCAGATCTTGGTCTCCAAGGGGTCCCAGCAGCTTATGTGGGTGCAGTTGTAGTTGGCACTCAGTGAGCTCTTACTACCTTTTCTGTCAACCAGTTTGAAACTATCAGCTCTGGCTTGGGTAGAGGCTAACATGAGGAGAAATGCAAGTTGCTCCTCACTGTGAGGCAGTTTCTAGCCCAGACCAGAGGGTGTGTGAGAAAGAGGTATACTCAGAAAGGAAGGCTGCTGAAGGCACTGCAGGTTTAGGGCCATAGATTCCCTCCTCAGCCTCTGAGCCCGAGTCCCATTGTTAGGTTCACTGAAGTGGGTTTTGGTTTGTAATTCTCCAGCTGAACTATGAAGAAATTAGTTTTGGTTCCATTTTAAAAAGAGCCATTCTCTGATTGGACAAGAGGGGACTTTCAGACTTGAGTCCCTAATGCCTAGTAAGGAATGCCCAGCTCTGGGCCAGTGTTTGACCATAGAAAAAGCAGGATTTTGTTTTCTTTTTCTCCTGCCAAATGTTCAAGGTATGAGGTATATAGAGGGTTTGTACTCATACTTGTGGGAAACAAAAGTCCCTGTGCCTCACAATCTAGAAATAGGTTTTTTGCCTAATGGGTGGGTGAGCAGCGACTCTTAGGAAGGCCCAAAGCTTGTTCCTCAGTTAAGCCAGTATACCCATCACTAGCATTTTTTGGAGACAGGCAAGGATGTGAATGCCATTTTGAAAATCTGCAAAAACAAAATCTCTGGGGGATTCGCTTGGTTTTTGACGATGGCTTTGTGAGCGTCTGTGGTGTTTCCTTAGCAATTTATTAGCAAGCTGGTTATGAAGTGAAGTGTTGCTTCACTGACAAAGTTGAATGTATTGTTCTTAACCTCCCTTCCTGTAGTGACATTTTGCTCTGCCTCACTGGCTGCCTCAGCAGTGCTCTCCCCCTCATCCTGCCAGATGTGCCCACATGTGTTACTTGGGTCCAGGAATCTGTATGTACCTGTTTGATAAAAGGAAGATGGGGGAAAACACACACACACACACAGAGAAAACCCTAGAACTGCTGAAGATCTAAACTAATCAAACCCAAGAGATTTTGTAGGTATGTAGAGGGTGGGAAACAAAAAAGTCCCTGATCTTGGAAATGAAGAAACATGTCTGTTGCTTACTGGATGAGTGAGCAGTGACTCTTAGGTCTAGGGAAATAGATATAATAGAAAATGTGTAAGACAGTAGTTCTCAGAAGGGTAGCTACAAGCCACCCTTTTTAAGCCACACAGTATTAGTCTGAAAGTGTCAAAATAGTCTCTAGGTCTGGAGGCTATGGCCCCAGAGTTCACCTGATGGCCTCAAATACCATGTCCAATTATTTAAATGGTGGGAAAGCAACTGGACAAAGCTGTATCTACAAGTTTGCAAACCAAAGTCTATTTTGTATAGTTTGGTTTGCTGTATTTCAGTTGGGGTCTTGAGTGAAGTAGGTGGGTTGAACATTTATAAGCTAAGGGCTGGAAAAAGTTGCTTTACTACTTTTCTTGTGTTTAGTGAATATGACTATCTTGGTTACTGATAAAGGTCTTCATTGGAGGACGCCAGCAATGTTTTGTTTAAGTGGTTGAAAAGACTTATTAAAGCTGTTGGTTTTTAAGTGTTGGTTAGGACATTGACCTTGATCTTCCCCTTAGAATCATTTTTCTGAGTCATGCCGAGAAGAGTCGCACTACTTTTGAGAGGTTATTCCCATGTTAAGTTGGAATTATAGCATATACACAGTTTAATCTGGCATGGGCTTGCATATTGATGAGGGAGGGTCTGCAGGTTCCCCCACCCCCTTTTTTACCCTTGACATATTTGTAACACTCTTCAATGTCACTTTTCAAAAGATTATTGATGCTTGGGCACTGGTTGTAGATGCCAAGATGATTTGATGAATCACTTTGAGGAATCATCATGTTCTTCCTATTTTCTTGGAAACACGACCTGCTCTCAGATGCTTAGCTTTTACCACTAATTTGGGTATTTCCAAAGGAAGTCATTCAGCAGCTTGTTCCTCCTCCAACACCCAACATGTTTGCTCTGGAAGAAGTCCTTCTGACCCAGCCCTCAAGCTCTGTGATTAATGACACTCACCTGTTGCACTAATGACTGACTGTAGGTTTTCAAAGGGGGATTTGGAAGCAGTAGGCAAATAGGGTTTAGATGAACTGGTTCTACATATATTCCTGCCTTAAGTAGCTAGAGTGATGGGTCCACTGCTCATGTAACCCTCCACATTTGTGGGTCCCTCTTAGTTTATGATCAGCATGGTTCTTGATGTTGTACAAACTTGACAAAAGTTACTATTTTTTTTGTATTCTCTGCACTGTTGCACTATCCAAATGGCCCCTCGAATATTTTTATCAACTTTTGTTACATACATTTTTTTGTCTCTGATGTCTAGTTTTTTTTCTTTTGAATTTTTTTTAATTTGGAAGGTTATCTGCTTTTGGATTTAATAAATTTGTTTACCTGATTTGATATTTGTGCAAAACACAAAACAAGTGACTTTATTTTGAGGCAAGGTCTACCCATGGTACCTCTTTCAGCATGTCATTTGGTAATACTAATTCCTTTGCTTTGGAAAACAAATTTAGATAGTTCAAGATCCCCAAGTTTCAAACAGGGCTGACTGTGGGTTAGCCTTTGGGGTACCAATGCTTCTAGACAATAGCATTACTAAGGCCAGGCACTGGTGGCTCACGCCTGTAATCCTAGCTACTCAGGAGGCTGAGATCTGAGGATCGCGGTTCAAAGCCAGCCCGGGCAGGAGAGGCCGTGAGACTCCTATCTCCAATAAACCACCAGAAAACCGGAAGTGGTGCTGTAGCTCAAGTGGTAGAGCGCTCGCTCGCCTTGAGCTGAAGAGCTGAGGGACAGCGCCCAGGCCCGGAGTTCAAGCCCCATGACCGACCAAAAAAAACCAAAAACAAATAGCATTACTACAGTAGGGTCACTACTCTTTCAAGTAACTGAATTCCCATATGGGATAAGAATTTGAGCGCTTGTGGTCCTTAGGTTAGCAGTGATAAAGTGCAAAGGAGACAGGCTGACTTGGCTGTTACTGTCAATTGCCATTTCTGTGTAACCACTGGAAAGTTAGGTTTTTAAAAATTCCATTTTTGCTAATTTGTAAAATGAACACTTCCATGATGGCTCACACTTATAATCCTAGCAGCTTCTTAGGAGACTGAGATCTGAGGATAGCGGTTCTAAAACCAGCCTGGACAAGAAAGTCTGTGAGACTTTTCCTTACAATTAATCTCCAAAAAACTGAAAGTAGAGATGTAGCTCAAGTGGTATGGTGCTACCCTGAGCAAAAAAGCTCAGGGACAGTACCCAAGTTCTGAGTTCAAACCCCAGGACTGGCACAACATAGAAAGTATGTCTCCAGGACATGTACTTGTTCCCCAATGACTCTTGGATATGTTTTTTCTGTGTTCTGGCTCTCCTGAATTCTAAAACCCCATGATTCTTACACATGTGGAAAGTAAAGTGAAAGATATTGATTTAGGTATATGTAGAGCTTAGAGCTATTCTGAATGTTGTCAGAGGTATGTATGGAAAAAACCAATTTTCAATTAGATGACAGGTAAATGACTTTCATACAATTACTAGATCAGCCTGCTGGCATATGGAATAAGCTTTTTCTAGCAAGAAAGTATCTCAAAGGTGGTTCTAGGGGTACAGAAAAAAATCACTTTGGCACTGGCTTCTTAACTCCTGTCAAGGCATCTTACTAAGCTGGGTTGGCTCTGGAGGTCATCTAGCCCCAGTTTTTTTACCTAGCCAGAAAGAGTCCATATGAAGAGGTTAGGAGGCCTGCCTACTAGATCTCATTTCCTTCTTCTATGTGAACTATTTTAAGAAGATACCCAGTCTGAAAAAAAAATCCACAGAAAGCCTACATAGTTCATTCTTCCTAATGTTCTAACCTTAGTCTTTTCTCAGGAGTGCTGAGAAAGTCCTAGTAGAATACAGAAACAACTTAGTCAGCAGCATAACATCTTAACTCTAAGTTTTATGAAAAGAGTCTCCACAAGTTTTGTGCTGATCTCAGTGATACTGCTAAAGTTTGTAAGTGTTTTAGATAAGTATACTTATTGTAAGAAAGAAGAAAACATGAGTACCAGATCTGGACATAGATATCCTCTTACATTGGCTAAAATAGGTAATTAGGTAATATTATCTACATGTCTAGGAAAAGTCACCATATGCCAAAATAAGTTCCAGGAAGAATAAGGGTTATTAGAAATATATGAACTTGCCAATGGGTATTTTAAGTTGATTTTGGGATCTATCAGGATTTTGTAAGCATAAAAGCAAATACAAGAACTCACAATGGAGGCTGGAGGCATGGTTCAGTGGTAGAGTACTTAGCAGGCATGAGACCCTGAGTTCAAGCCTCGGTACTACCAAAAAAAAGAACAATGGAAAATAATAAACTTAGGAACTTAAAAAGACTAGAAGTATTTTTTCAGTAATTGATATAAATGAACACTATATTTAATTCATAAGGAGCCCTAAAAAATTCAGTATGGAAAAGTACTTGGTTTCCTAAAGGAAAAATGGATAAAGGATATGCACACCTCAGTGAGGAAAAAATAAATGGCTAAAAGCCTGGGGAGAAAAAAAAAACCCTACAGGGTATTTACAATAATCAGTCATTTAACCTATTGT